TGCTGAGTGAAAATTGGTATCCTTGTATTTTGGGAATGAAATGCAGGAACTGCTGCTGCTTGGAACAGTGAAGCACTGATGCAAGCTACCTGAATACTGGGAAATAGCTTTCATTTGTGGTTCTGAATAGTTAGCTAGGTGGTGCCTTCTTTGTCTCACTGGTCACTTATGAAGTGTCCCAGGCAGATCCCAGCATACGGGTTGAGCCAGGGATTATCTGAGAGCATGTGACCCCTGCAATTCTATCAGACAGGATGGCTACCTGCAGACCAGGCACTGAGAGCTGGCCAGCGTGCTCACTGCTGTCTTTGCAAGGTTGAGATGATCAGGGAGCCAGCATGCAGGTTAGGGTGTTGTGGCCCAGGTGAGCAGAGAGCTAGACAGGTACAGTCCTGCCTGGGAGGACACGGTTGTTGGGCTGTCTGTCCCCTGTATGATGCCAGAACCAGCAGGGGTACCATGGTCTGTCCTGGGACTCGTCCTGTTTAGCACCATTTTCAGTGACATGGAGGAGGCAACAGCAGGCACTTCTGTGGGGTTTGCAGATGACACCGTATTGGGGGGACCAGCTGACAGGCAGGAGGAACAGGCCAGCATGGATGCTGTTGGGCATAGATGGGAACAAAGCTGTGCTGCCTCATAAAAGCAGAGGATGTGATACAAAATGTACGGCTCTTTCTCAACCTCCTCCAGCTGTCTTGTTTACAGTGCAGCTTTACTTGTTTGTTGTATTTTGTTTAATCTCTCTTTGCAAGTGATCTACTGGGCATTGACCAGTGCCAAGGGCAAGGAAGCATCACTCCACAGAACTATGCTTACTTCAGCTTTCAGTATGTTACTGTTTCCCTTCTTGTCCCTCAGGCCCTCATAAATCTCATAAAATCCTTTTCAGATGGAAATCCTCCTCTTCCCAAGCTGTAACATGTTTTGCAGCAGGCATTTCTCTATAGTTATATTGGTCTCTTGTTGACAGTCTTAAGGTATCAGTTCCTTGGCTGGTAAATATCTTCCTTATTCTTAAATCTATCCACTTGCTTTTGTTCAGAGCAATGCATTGGGATAATAAATTGACCCACAAGTGCCTGAAACTGCTCAGTTCTTTCTGTCATGCCAGTGTTTCATAATACTGAATCCTGGGAATGTCTTGAAGAAGCGAACAGCATCTTCCCAACTTGTGCATCTCCCAGAAGAGCTGCAAGCTGCCCGGATTTCTAGTAAACTCACTCAATGGATGTCCTTCCATAAACAGCATTCCAGTAGTTCAATAGATTTATTCCAGAATATGAAAATAGACAGTTGTTTCAAATGCCAGTTTTAAGACTTGCCAAATGGAACTATGTACATGCATAAGATGAGAGCATAAATCAGCTCAGTAAAACAGCTTTGTAAATATTTATGAGCACAGGGCTCCTCATTTCACACATTTTACTCCTTCTCTGTCCTCATCTTAAGTTTTCACTTGCTTTGGTTTATGGCTGGTAGTTTGGGCTGAGTACCTGACATTGCTAAATTGCTGCCTGTGTTCCCTGCTATTGCATATACCACAGTCCTAGACCTTCAGTGACTGCAGGTGAATGCATGATCTATAGAAAGAAACACGTTTGCATGGAGGGGCATATTCTGAATTCTGATGGACCCACATTGTGTTGTGTGAAGTTTAGCAGGCGCCACATTGATGAACTAAAGCACAGCCTGGAGTTTCCTGCTTGAGCTGCCACCCCTCATTTGGCTGCAGGTGAGGCAGGACCCAAGTTTCCTCTTTGTGTGGGTATCAGAATGGGGCTGGTTATTCAGAAGGGTGAGGAAAGGAAGATTAAAAAAACAGTTGATAGGATGAAAGATAAAGGTATGGAATGACAGAGATGTGAAGCAGCTGTGAAAGAACAGTTGCAAAAGAATCAGAACTGTCAGGATATAGCAGAAACAATCTAATGGGGCCTACAGAGATGGGTTATCATCTCACGCAAAAATCTTTGTCTCCCTGTCACCTTCTCCTGTGGCCATGATCCTTCCCCAGGCATCCTGGCCTTTTGGTGGCACAGAGGAGAGGAAATGACATTTTCACTCCTTCCTTTGCAGCAGTCACAGAGGAGAGCAGAAGGATGCAATCATACAGACATTTTCTTTTCAATTTTTATGGAGTTGTGCATGTGCTCATTATTTCCATTTGTGTCCATGCTAGTGCTGGAATTTCTATTACTCTTCATTAATTCACACCAAAAGCTCTGCATTTTCTCCCTATTTCACTAGCATCAGATAGTACCATGTTGATATAATAACCAGAAACAAATTCTAAAAATAAACCTACTGATAATTTCCTAGTGTTTGTTTGACCAGACCCTTGAAGTTCCTGACTGGTCAGTGGACTGAGATAAGTGCTATCATTTTTCTTCTCTCTTGTCTGCTGGCTTTTCAGCCTTTTTGAACTGCAACCCACAAGGGGGCTGAGGAGGAGGTGCTTGTGGCAATTCAGGATGGATTATTCTCATTGAGGAATTGGCTTCTGCTGTTTCATGAGAGGCTTTGGCAGATCAAAAGCTGTTGCTGCTGAGATCCTGCCAGGCATGCTTTCCATGTATTTCTGTATGTCTTCACTGAAACTGCGTGGGATCAGTAGAATAGCAGAATTTGGGTATGAAAACATTTTTCATTATGTTTACACATCTTAATTAGAGATTTATAAGGACAGCCTGATATGCTGCCATTTAAACAATTCCTTGCATTTAATTGTGTTTACATTTTTATTAGGGAAATATAACAGAGAAAGATAACTTATTAATTTACATGCAGACTTATCAGAAGATTCCTTACATTGTACAATTTACATCATTTAATGTCTTAGCATGGATTTAATAATATTCATGCAAATTTAAGTGTCTTCCTGACTGCAGTGGCATCATTCATTAACAGTTACCCTGAACTCTGATGATTATAGGTTTGGCATAAACACAAAAAGAATATTTTCTTCAAAAAGCAGATTTTGGAAAGCTTATTGGCAATTCTTCCTGAAGTTGTGACTCATTTTGTATTTTTAGACACTGCTCAAGCACAGCTGCTGGTGTACTTGAGCAAAAAAAATGCTCTTTGATCAAGTAGGATGTTTGTCTCTGGTGAGCTGTGCTTAAGGCTTTTATTCTTTGATTTGCATAGTCTGTAGTCACTGGCATTCCCCAGGGATCAATACTCGGCCCGTTCTTATCCAACTTGTTTATCTGTGGCACAGAAGGCCCCTCAGCCATTTGGTGATGACACTAAGCTGGGGGAGTGGCCGATCACCTGAAGGCTCTGCTGCCATTCCGTGGGACCCTGAGAGGCTGGAGAATTGGGCAGAGAGCAGCACAATGGGGCAAGTGCAGGGTCCTGCACGTGGGGAGGAAAACCCCAAGTGCCAGCGCAGACTGGGGACTGACCTACTGGAGAGAGCTCTGTGGAGAAGGACCTGGGGTTCCTGGTGGATAACAAGTTGTCCATGAGCCAGCAGTGCCCTTATGGCCAGGAGGGCCAATGGTGTCCTGGGGAGCATTGGGAAGAGTGGCCAGCAGGTTGGGAGAGATGATTCAGCCCTGGTGAGGCCACCTCTGGAATGCTGTGTCCAGTTCTGGGCTCCTCAGCACAAGAAAGACAAGGGGCTACTGGAAAGGGTCCAATTGGGCCACAAAGACAATGTGGGGGTCTGGAGCATCTCCTATGAGGAGAGACTGCAGGAGCTGGGCCTGTTCAGTCTGGAGAAGACTCAGAGGGGATCTCATTAATGCATTTAAACCCATCAAAGGAGGGTGCCAAGAGGATGGTGCCAGACTGTTTTCAGTGGTACCCAGTGACAGGATGAGGAGCAATGGCCATAAACTAAAACATGAGGAAGAGCTTCTTTCCATTGAAGCTGGCAGAGCACTGGAACAGGCCACCCAGGGAAGTCATGAATTCTCCGTCTGGAGACATTCAAAACCTACCTGGATGAGTTCCTTTGTTAGCTGCTCTAGGTGACCCTGCCTTGATGGGAGGGTTGGACTGGATGATCTCCAGAGATCTCTTCCAACCCTAACTATTCTATGATTCTTGTATAGTTAGTAAAAAAACTATATAAGGTCTTTTGTAAGTAACTTAACTTAATTTCCAAGTGTGTCCCTTCACCTCCTGTTTCCTGATGGCCAGTTCCAGGCAAGTTGCATCCATGGCTTTCTGCAGCCCCTAAGTTGCTATTTCAAGATATCATGTTTTGCACATCCAGAACATGGGGCTGGGGTACAATCCACATATGATGAGCCAAGGGTCAGTGGAATTTAAAAATGTGGAGCAGCCACCATGAACATTTCAAGAGCATCTTGAGAGCAATTAATGATGATACCACTCTCCATCTACTTCCTAGGAAAAAGAGAGCATTGTTCTGGTTTTTTTAACAGAACCTCTGTTTCTATGAAATTAATTAAGAACAGGAATGTATCCTCATACTCATATCATAGCAGATACCTTGTGTAGATGAATGAGCCAAGTCTGAGATGTTTCATTGAATGTGCAGAAATAGTTCTTTTTATGCAATAGGGAGCAGCATACAAACCCTCAGAAGCAGTGGTCATGATGTTACATGCCTGCTTTCACTGCAATCCCACTCCTTCATCTTGGACAATCTAGGACTGGGTTCTCTGATGAAGCTTCCTCTTAAAATTATGCCTCTCCAGAGACCAGAGATTATCAAGGACCTCTGTTTGCAACACTAACTACAGTAAATGCTATTGTATTATCCAACAGTAGCAAATTAAATAATCCCATTCCCGTCACTTTCTAACAGGATAACGTTAAAGGCATTCCTCTGGGATGGAGAGTAATAATTTGATAATTCCCCTCAGTATTTCATGCTTCTCAATATTGCAGCTAATTTTCTCTGAGTACCTTATTAACATTCACAATGACTTTGCAGTCCCACCCTAATAGCTCTCCGAAGAGGCAGTGACTGTGAAGGTGAGAGCTGACAGTGACATGTTTTCCTCCTTTTTCCTCTACAGACTGTATTATCCTGGCTTCCATCCACTGAGGGCTGTCCAGCTGATGCGAGTGGGCAAACTGCAGTACAGTCAAGGCATGGTTCCTCAGGCACTGGAAACCTTGAAACAGGTCAGTACGGTGAAATATTTTTTCTCTATCCCTCTCTCTTGCTTCCCCCAAAACTTCTGTGTGATTCCCTCCTCATGCCTTTGAATACTCCTCACCACTTCTTCCACCCGTGGTGCTCCCCAGGCTGCAGCTGGGTGTGGTGATGGGTCACTGTTGCTCAGCACAGCATTTCAGGCACTGACATTCTCTAGCATCAGTCACAGCTAATTACATTTTGATAGCTCAGAGGTGCCTGAATGAAAAATTGCTATTAGATCTGAAGAGATAAAATTATCTCAGTGCTTCATATGTTCCTTATTCCTATAGCAAAGTGATTCTGAGAGCACTGAAAGTACAGGAACAGAAGAAGAGCTGCGGTTTCTACCCTCCTTATTCCTTGTTGGGTTCTGTGACTTCAGGCTGGAAAACTTTGTCTTTAACGCATGTATTTTATTGTGAGCCACACTGAAATCAACAGGCATGTCCCTTGATCCCTCATGTTTCTTATCATTCATCATCTTTGATCTGGTTTTGCAGCTGTGCTTTATTAGTTACATTTCAGCTTTAAGCCATCCCTCTTGTACCTGAGCTGACTTTTATATTCATTTCCTTGTACCTCAGGCTCTTATTTGTCTTGCTGTTATATTGCTGTTAGTATCATCTTAAGTATATTAAATAATCCCTTTCCATGTGCAACATGTCCTCAGGATGTAGAATCTTGCCTCCCATCTCAAGCCCTCAATCACTGCTGGGGTGCTTTGTACCCCCTGGAAGATGTGCTGCCTCTAGTTTCCTTCAGAAAGGTCTTATTCCCTTATGTTATGGATTGTCCTGTGATCACTTGCCCTGAAGACTCTACACGCTCTGTGTGGTTCCCTGTCCTGGCCCTTGACTCACCTCCAGCTCCTGACACAGCTCCTCATTGCCTTTGCTGGGTGCTGCCAAAAGCCACGTGGCCCAGCTACTTGCCTGTGTCTGCTGGGCAGGACCAGGCCCAGTTGTGGCACCAGTGTTGGAAAGAAGTGAAGAATTTGGCTCTACATTGCCTTCTATTAATGTCCATACTATATGAAGTGCTTTGTGGCAACTGCTGGGGGGTAGAAGGGGATGGGTGTCTCCACTGGAGGTGAGGGAGGGGTGCTTTTCCACTCCTGCCCAGGTCCCCTATAAAGATAATATCAGTCATGACTGTCTAGGTATTAGTATTTTGTGCTTACCTTTTCTTCAACCCCCATATCTCTGTGGTTTTAACATCTGAATAATGATGCAAGCTGAATACTTTTCATATGTTGAAGTAATAAATTAGTATTTAATATGATGCCACTCTTGCTAAGTCTCGGTATAACTTAAATCTTCACTTGATGTATTTTACTTAAATTATAGCCAACTCTGATCATTATAAAGCAGACAGAAGAGTAATCAATTCTATTTTTATGTATTATTCAGAAGTATGTCATATACCTCTCATGTGCCAGGTAATCCCTCTGGCATTTTCCCCAAAATATTGATAATTTCCAAACATTCAAACTTTCCCTTTTATCAATGGAATGAGACTCCAGTCAGAGGAGCTTCTGTTTTCATTGACACTGCTACAATAATATCAACAGGCATTGTTCTAATTGCATTTCTAATGTGATACTGCATTAGATTAAACTGGTGCGAATTCCCCTGGAGACAAAGGAATGCTGCTGGTCAGTGAAGGTGGACATTGCAATGGGGATTCATGTGTTTTTTTGTGAAGAAGCTGACCACTGCAAGCCAGATGGCTACACTATGATCCTTTGGAAACTGAGCAATGCCTAACACAGAAACCTTTTCTAGGCTGTGACCTCCTCTTTCTCTGCAAAGGGACATTAAGGTGCTGCTTGCCCTTCTGTGTCATACTTCAGCGAGCCTCTAACAGAGGCTCCAAGTCATTGATGCTCCACAAGGACACAGTAAGTGCTTTACAGCTGAGGTGTAGGATCCTGTTGTGGCTTTGTCTATTCCCTATTCAGCCTCCCCTTTTTCACCCAAGTGTGGGACAAGGCGAGACTGAACTCCCACTCCCTGGGAGCGCAGCTGAGAGGAGGAAGAACTTCTTGTCATCCTGTTTCTCCATGTAACTTCTTCAGATGAGCTCTGCAACTGATTCACTTCCTTGCTTTCTATACCGGAACAAATTAGAGGAAGACATAATTCCCGGTTTGTTGTGACTAAAGGATGTGATTCCTAATATTACTCAGATAATGTCCTAAAGTTATATGAGAACACAATTTGCTCCTTTGTGGTTAGATGTGTCAACAGAGCATGCCACATGCTCAGAGCAGAAAGTCGATTACCTTCTCTGCTTCATTACTCTTCTTAATACACTCTGACACTGAATAGCAGCACCCTGTTGGAACCCTCGTCAGACTAATTTCACTGTGGCATTAGGAAGAAGGATATGGAAGGTGCAGAGGAATTGAGATCTGAGTGGAATTCACCTCACATATAAATCCTGTTTAATCAGGCACAGCCTCAGAGCTGCTGGGGATTGACAGCCTCTCTGCAGCAGACACATGGTCTGTTAAGACCAGTAGATCTCACTTGGCTCTGCAGCCCAGCCCTCACTGCTGCTCTCTGTGCCACAAAAAAAATGAATCACTATCCTAACCACCTGCTCTTACAGCCCTATGGGTTTAGATCTCTGCCCTGCTCCCCTGAAGAAGGCTTAAATAATGTGGAGGGCCCATTAGAAAGAAATCACCCCCTAAACTTATATTAGGCCCTGCAGAATCTTATTTGCTAGATTTTGAAATAGTAATTTTACAGAGAGGCAATACTCCTCTGGAATGAAAACTGAAGGTAGTATTTTACAACCAACATATTATTTTTAAATTTTATACAAATATATGAAAGATCTAATGGAGGACAGATTGAGTTATAAATCTGGAAAGCTTTTGTCAGCAAAAGACAGGAACTGGAGCCCAATCTGAAAAACAGTTTGAAGTGCCTGACATGGCATGGTCATGGGAGTACTTTTGTCCCCCATGAGCTGATGGGTACAGCTGTCTTGTCTCATGAACATCTACAACAGGTACTGTACGACTTCCCTTCTTATAGAATTGCCTGTTGTGGAGGCAAAAAGCAGAGGAATTGGGGTAAAATCCTTCCCAGGTCTCATAGGAACACTGAAGAAATCCCTTCTCTAGGTGTTTGCGTCAAACACTGAGCTGTTTACCAGCTGTCATTGATAGTATTCCTGTGCCTGCTTTAACAACCTGTACACTTCAATCAAGAGAGATGGAAAGCCGCACATACTCCCTCTGAAATACTAGCCTACACTTCCTGCCACTCTGGCACGTGGCCATTTGCTTCCTGCTTTCCCTGTGACAGAGCTGGGCCATCCTGCACCTGCCCATGGTCCCGCAGCCATGGCCATGGGCATCCTTTCCCATCCCTGAACAAATCAGGCACAAACACATGCACTGCTCCTCGTTTACATTCATGGAGCAGCAACCCTACCTCTGCTCTAATGGGGTTTATATTCTTCAGGATGTGACTGATGACACCATGGCCTGTGTTGCCATTGTAGCTTTTCATAATTAGATTTTCTCATTTAGCTGGGAGGGAGACCACACAGACGACACGAATCCGCTCAGCCTCAGCTCTGCTGGTGAGCTGTGGGATTGAGAGCAGGGCAGTGGGCAGAGAGCCCATGTGCTCCTGCTTCTGTCCAGTAAAACTATTCATTGCACTGGAGCTGAAATTATTCCTTTTTGCATTGACCTTTGCCAAAACAGCTACATAGCCTAATACCAGTTGAATTTAGGGATTACTCAAGTCATTGCTGTTCTAACTTTGATGCAGCTGGTTCTGACTCGTACAGCAGTGCATGAGATGGTACATTGCATAAAAATTATTTCCTCCAAGGAAACAAAAGGATAAAGACTGAGTGCTTTTGTCTGCCATATTTATGAAAGAAGTGGAAAGAAAATGTTGAAAGTGGGAGAAAGGCAGCAATGGTAGCATTAACTCAATATTAGGTTTTATATTAAAGATTATTGGTTTTTAATGGAGGTATATCTATATAGGCATCTCTAGCTGTACATCTCAGGGTGTCAGGGTCCAAGTCCATCACTATGAGCCTAACTTCTGTTCTGTAGTGGGGCTGAAGATCCAGGTCAACTGCCCCAGGACTGTCACTCAGATGTATCCAGATGCACAGCTCTTAGCATACATCATTCACAATAAATCCGTCAGCTTTCTGGGACAGGGCATGCAAGCACTGTGCACCAATATGTCAGGATCCAGGGCCAGTTCACCCAGCCACTTTGCTCTAGGCTGATCCTGTCCCCTTCTAATTAGTCTGGGTGCAGCTGCATGTTACAAAAATTTCGTATTTCTGATTTTGTTTCACATTTCTTTGCTATTTCTAAAAGCAATGAAAGTTTTTCCATCTTTCTTTTTAACTGTGTAAATTTCATCATTTAGTAGTATCATTTAGCAGTTTTTCAGTATGCTTCAAAAATTTACACAGTTTTTAGAGCTCCTTACTCACTATGATTTGTTTTGACTGATATTTCAACTTGTTCTTTCAATCTTGTGCTGCCTCCCTCTTTTAAGAATTAGCAAATTTGATGCAAAAATAAACTCTGCTGGAATTTCCATATGCCTGCCAGTCTTCATAATTTGGAAGTAGGCTTTCATTCATTCCACAAAAGTATATATTTACTTTTGTCTATCCAATTTAAATGAGGCCTCTTCCTCAACATTTCTTCCCCAAGAAGAAATGCTGCAATTCAAAGCAAACTTAGCTGAATTTTGTCAGCTACTGGACAGGGAGCCCTTTGAAACATAGGCTGCATCTAGTTTTTTGCAATTCTTCAGTTCAGGATGATGAAAAATCTCTGATCTTTTCTCCTGCCAGTACACTACTAGCTCCTTTGTTCTGTCTTCAGAAGTGCTGAATCAGCTTCCATCTAGGACTTCCCTCCTTGCAGGAGGAATTTAATAGAGGAAGAATCAGAAATGCCATATGAAAAGTGATGATCTAAACAAGACCTGGGCAAAGAGCATTGCAGACATACATGTGGCAGGAAATCAGCAACTCTACAGGTAATATCAGCAAGCATAAATTAGCCCAGCAGTGGAAGATGACAAACATAGAGAAAATAGTCCCTGGCAAAAGCAGCAAAGACCCATTCCCCTGCATGCCTTTTAGTGAAACAATTAAGGTACTCATTTTTTTGATGCTATGTATTGTTGCTTCTGATAGAGTTAAGGTTCTTTATTCCATGGGTTAAGCATTAATCCATTTCTATTTTTACAGGACTTTCATGAACATCACAGTCATCTTTTAAATAATATATCAAAACCTTGGGTATTGTAGTTGACCAATCTTGAAACAGCCTTATTGTCTCAGTGCAAAATTATCTCTCTCTGCTGTTGCATACACTCAGTTGTGCAACATACTTGTGGGGTTTAACCCCTAGGAATAATGTGTCAATGCCTCCTTCTTTGTCAGGGACAAATCACCATGCACTTTAGGATGCTTCACTCCTATTTCAGCCATGCCATGCATTCAAGTCCCCAGGTGCCAGCCACTTGAGGACCAGTTCTTGCACCCCACCCTGCTCCAGGGTCCAGCCCCTTTGTATGGTCTGCACAATGACTAACATGTCCCTTTTTGTTCTTTCCTGTAGGCCTATAATATTATGAAGGTGACCCATGGGACAGATCACAGCCTGATGAAAGTCTTGATGGACATAAAGGAAGAGTATGAGGCCACGATGAGAATACAGTGAAGATAATCTCTAGTCTGGAAAACAAAATATTTAAGGACAAAGAAGATGTTTTTTATTTAATTGTGAAGGTTCTCAATGGTTTTAGTGTCTTTTCTATAGGTCCTATTTGCTTTACAAAAAGGTTTAATATTAGTTTTGCTGTATGGTCTTAATTGAGTGGATGTTTGGCAGATTTCCTGTAATTTTCAGAGGGTTTTTTGTGTCATCAATCATCAGTCTTATTGACAATAACTAAAAACCTAATTATTTGCTTGTAAGTATTGGCAAAATGCATACAGAGTCTTCATCAGTTACAAAGTGATCTAATTCCACTGATATCAACAGTCATTTTTTTATGACTTTTATGAATTGCTGGCATCTATTTATGCCAGCAATTAGGAACCTCTTGTCAGACTCTTATAAATTAAGAGAATATACTTTTTTCCCTTTACCTTGCCCTTTGGTATGGTTTCCGAAAGCCTGATCCAGTGCTTTTTGACATCAAATAAGTTTCCTATTGTTTTATATGGGATTTTCTTCCCTCCCAATAGATCTGCAGGGCTTTGTCTGTCTTCTTCTTTCATTTCATACCTTATCATATTGAATACTAAAATGGATTAAATAAAAAATTTTATCATAGGTGGAAATTGCTTACTCTGCTTTTCCCCATTTTGCCATCTTCAAGAGTTTCTCACTTCATAACAGTTTTAAAAACAGATGTTTGGACCTGTGAGCTCAGTGCTATGGCTTCTAGACCTTTCTGAGTCTGTGGGGTTTGAATGTCACATCCCCAAAAAGAGAAGCCCAGAGACCTACAGATGAACACATCATCCCTGGGGAAGACAAGGATGTCTTGGAAAGCACGGGCACACTATTTCCCCATGCTCATCAGCAAGAGACTTGTTCTTGCCAGAGCTGTTTACTTCCATTTTTAACACAGAAACAAATATTAACAAAAGCCAATATTTATGAGGGACATTGAAACTTAAATAATTTAAGGCCTTTGAAAGTATTGCTTCAGGTGTGTCACTCCTCTAACAATTTATTGCTGCTACTCCAGCCATGACTGTTACTTCATTAATCCATCGTTGTTGTAAAGTCAGGCTTTTTTCACACCAGTAACCTGACACCATTAATTATTACAAGATGAGAACACATTTAAAAAGAAAATGAACATTCTGGGTGTAATTTACAGCCATGGCACACAAATGCCAGGGCTGAGGAAGATATCTCCTTTCAAGACGTTTGAATTTGTTCCAGCGTTTGGAGCGTTCACTTGCCCGGCAGTAATGTGCAGGCAATAACCTCTGAAATGCAGTGCATTTCTGGAGTACCTAGCATGGCTTGCTGCCAGAGGCCAGGTCATATCAGCCACCCAAGAAGTGCAGTAATCCTCACAGAAATTCACTGCTTGGCTGGGTCTTCCTGCTATTATAAAAAGGAAATTGTCTGGGGGAAAAGGTCAGACCTTTGCATTTATTGGGAATTCTGACAAAGTACTGATGGACAACCAGTCTTCAAAGCTTATTTTCTGGTTTTAAATAGGCACATGCATATTGGAATTTGCATGATTTTTGTGTAAAGATCATGCTTATGTTATCTTGTATTTACATATCTGGTACTAAGATTTGCAAATGGAGGGGACTTCAGAATCTAAGGTCAGGTGATGCACTAGTTTGTGCAGCATATCCTGGGAGACAGCCCAGAAGCCCTCATGCATGCAGACACATCTGCAGGTATGAACTGCAGCACTGTTTGCTGGGGCTTCTGCTACAAGTGCACCTCAACAGTCCAAGGAAGGAGCTCAGGATAGGCAGAGTCACCTGCTGTTGTATGAGAACAACTACTTTACAGCAAGCTGAAACCTCTACCTGTGCTGGGGCCTTCTCTCTTCTTCTCTGAGAAGACACTTAGAGATAAGGTACAAAGGAAACAGTTCAATGACAGCCTGATGGGAAACAGAGAAGGAGCGTGCTGTTGGCTGTGGAGTGTCAGCAGAGCTGTTGGAAATCCATCCACAGCCACAATGCTCAATGCAAGAAACTGAATGGGCACCAGGATCCTCAGTACGGGGGCATAACCCATGCTTTACATTAATTACTGTTGATGCAAAACTTCTTTCAGCTTGGTCAAGGCAAGAGTCACATTTTCTGGTTGTTTCCAGTCGTTTACTGAGCAATTTCCCTTGGAGATTCCCATGCACTAACACCACCAGCAGTGCTGCAGGGAAGATTGGTGTGGGCAAATTTTTTTCTCCTGGTGGTCCTGCTCCAGTCTGTTTTCTGCAGAGAATGCTGGTCTGTGATTGTGGAAGGATTTACCTGAATGCATCATTTGAAAGTGTGGCAGCAAGCAAGGGTGCCAGGGAGGAGGCAACTTTAGATAAGCACTCATTTCAAATCAAGTAATATTATCTTTGCACAGACATCATGTTTCAGTTTTCATGAATAATATCTGTCAAATTTCTCAGGTGCTGGTATTAGTGGTAAGATAAAGATGCTAAAGTCAGAAAGAGGCAGACTGCAACATTATCTGTAATGCTGGCAGGTTTGCTGCTTGCTTCCCACAGGTTGGAGGCTTTTCTGATGCCTTTTGGAAAGCAGTGGTTACTTGAGTTCACCTCAAGTTTTAGGAATGCATTCTGCGTTACTTGTGTTTTGTCACTCTCCCTTAAATTACTCCAGTAAAAACAATGTTAGATTGCACTCAGAGGGAGCAGAATCGCACTGTGTGTTTGGAAGAAAAGCAGTAGCAGAACACAGGGAAAAAAACTTGGGGAATGATACAGTTTTGCTAAGAATAACTGATTACAGTTGAACAGAACATTTGTCTTAAACAAAAAAAAAGCTCTCTAAACTCTGTTATTTCTTTAAGAATGGCATAATTCTCTGTATCCATGCCCCTCAAGGGTGCTGACCAGAAGCTGGAAATAAAAACTCTCTGAGACCTTGGAAAACAGTCTATTATGCAGTGCATACATGAGGTAGTAGAAAGTAAAAAAAAAAAAAAAAAAAAAAAGCAGCGAGAGAAAATGCAGTAAACCAGATTTTTTAGAGCTTTGACCTCTTTGACTCTATCAACCTGTGTGTGAAGTCTGTTGTGCATGGGTTTATGCCAAGAAAACTCTCCCACTGCTCAGCCTTTTTTCTGCTTCTCATTGTAACCCTCTTCCCTGATAGCTAGGTTTTTAAGTGAGCTTTTCTTAGACTTGTTATTTTTTTACAGAGCATGTTTATGAAATACAGAGGCTATTTCCCCACACAGTATACTTCAAGCAGTCCCTGGCCACTGCAAAGCTCTTAATGAACAGAGTTCCATTTTTCACAGAGGTTGTGCCAATTATGAGGATTTTTTTCCTGAATCAGAATTAAACCTCCCATAAGACAAGAAGAAGGAGGAAGGTCTTACAATTATTGACATGGAGTTCTGGCGTGGCTTCTCTGCTGCACCAGAAATTGTGTCTGACCTTGGGAAATCAGACAGGGTTAGACGTCCATATTTGAGTTTCCTTTTTGTTGATCCTTGGAAAATAATGAAAAGAGAAAAAAAGGAGAGGAGAGGAGAGGAGAGGAGAGGAGAGGAGAGGAGAGGAGAGAAAAAAAAAGAAAAGAAAAGAAAAGAAAAGAAAAGAAAAGAAAAGAAAAGAAAAGAAAAGAGAAAAGAGAAAAGAAAAGAAAAGAAACTGGCTATGACTCTTTCAGTAACTCTGCCTCACATGAATATGGCCAGATTGATGTCAGAGGTGTAGCAACATGGCAGTGTCTGTGTTACAGCCCTGCCATGGCTGGCTGTGGGTGGCACGGGTGGGAATGGCATCATTGTAGTTGTCATAACTGCAGGTATTGCTCTGAGAGTTCCTCCACAACTGAGTGCCAGAGAGCTGTGAGCTGCTCACGTCTATGCTGTACCTCCTCCAAATAGACAAAGTTTTGTTTCCACCCATGGAGCTTCAACAACATCTAAAGAATTGTCAAAAAATCCAAAGCAAGTGCTTTTCTTTATTTTAGACCAAAGCCATGATAGAGTTCCTCTTTTCCTTTTCTCTTTTATTCTATTATTATTTTCTCTTTCCTTTCAATGTACATTTTTCCAAACAAAACTCTTTTCCTTTTTTGCAAATTTAATTAGCCTGAAAATAGATTTGTTATGGCTCTTTTATAAAGGACACCCTACAAGAACATCGAAGCGTGAATTTTTCTTGCCCTAAGCAAAAGGAGTGCACTTTATCTGAAAGTCTGTGGTCTGCAATTCTTGCCATTTAGCACAATGGTTTCTGTTTATCCCCACAGCAGTGATGTGTAAGCCAGGCCTATGTCATCCCTGTTAATATTTCCTGGGGAAAGCTCAATGTTTTTATTTGCTCTGCACTTCTGATCAACATGGACAAATCAATTCTAACTCCATAGTTTTTTAGATTTTTTGTAGGTTTTAATAAGAACCTTAGAGATTCCCTTCCCCCATATAAAAGAATAACTCAGGTCTAGTAATTAGGCTTCATACAGTCACTGCTCACACCGAGGAACCTAACAACAGGTTCTTTATAGTTCCCAGGAGACCAATTAACCTTCTTTTAAATATATCTCTATATAGCCACTGAGACAGGCACACACAGAAATGCATACACACAACAAGCTTTTCAGCAGTCTCAGATGCTTCAGCTCCTTGTTAACCAAATTCTGATGGGGTTTATGGTAAGAGGGCAGGGCTGAAGCATCCTGCCCGAGTTCATTTTAACTCTAAAGATAACTAAATCAGGACAGACCACAATCTCTTCTAATTTCCTTGCCCCCAGGACAGGAGGAAGAGAATAATCATCCAGCCTCTTCTATGCCTTAAGTTCCCCTCCATCTCTTGGGGTGGGGCAGGCACCACTTGCTGGTCCCATTACCTGCTCCCTAAGGTACCAGCTAAGGAGCCTGCTCTCCCATCTCTGTTTCAGTTAAGGGCTGGTCTAGTGGGGCTGACAAGATGAGGAAAGAGCAGTGATTTCTTCCTCCGCCCCTCCAATTCAGCAGCTCTGATTCCCAGTCCCAGAGGCTCCAAATAGGAAGGTGGCAAATTTACATAAGTCTTGAAGGAAAACTGTACTTTAAATCACAGGTGATCCCTCTTGACAATTCCACTTGACTTTCAGAGCAAGAGCCAGGAGACAGTAATAGAGAAGGGTGTCTGATGAGAAAATTAGCAGTTCCCGTCCCCCAGGCCCTGTGCACTGCTCTGAGCAGTTCTTGCCTATTTACCCTTAATGAAGCTCCTTTTAATGAAGTATTTCTAGTGCTGTCTTCCTGTTCCTGTGTCTCCTTGTGGTGCTGAGAATCCCATGATAAAACAGGTCGAGAAGAGGTCTGGCCTGATCCTCCCTGTTCTGTCCCTTGGGGACACCCAGGTGATGTGTAACGAAGCCCTGGAGCTGCCATCTCTCCCACCAGCAGCAGCACACTGCAAGAGCCCAGAGGGAGGGATAGAAAGGCTGTTGTACTCTTTGGATGGAATTTCAGTTATCACACTGCAGCAGGGAGGGATTGCTCTCCATACCTATAGGGCAGCCATACAGCTGAGGGACAGCTGGTAGTCTGGGAAGTGGAGCAGAAAAGATCACAGAATCGCAGAATCAGCTGAAC